ACAGATTGAATGGTAGGGGTGGTGGCTTGGCAGTGCTCGTCTGCTCGTTAAATGTAGTATTGACTATCACAGAAGCACAAACGCCGAGATGCAAAGCATTGAAGCGGCATCCGTGGTAGTCAATATGGCCAATATGGATGCATTCCGTTGAAGATCACCTCGGTGTATGTCAGGTGCGGTGCCAGGCTGCGAGAGGAGGACTTGGAAGTCCTTCTGGACTGTTCGGGGCCTCTTATTGCGGTAGGGAACTACAACTGCAAACACCGATCATGACACTCGAGGCTTAACTCTACTTGTGGGGTTCGGCTTTACAACCATGTGATGCGAAACGGGTATCTTATTCACAGCACCGAAGAGCCGACACATCATCCTTTCAATCACCTTCAGGCACCGGATGTTATAGACTTTGCAATATCTAGAAACTGTAGGTGTTCAGTATTGCTTCTAGGATCTTGTATGACATCTCTAGTGACCATCTACCTGTTGTTCTGGAGGTAGGTAATGGGCATTTCGTGGAGGAGGAAACTCCTCCAAGGAAAAGAGTTGATTGGGAACTATACAAGTTATTTCTCAAAGAGTTTCCCAGCGTCCCGGTCATAAATGATGAGAACGGAATTGATACTCCTCAATCGGAGTGGACAAGTTTCGTTCACCAAACTCTACAGCGTGCTGCTGTGCTTCCGGTGCTGCGACACGGCAGACCTTTTCTCCCTGCTGACATTCGTCGGAAAATTTCTGAAAAGAGGGCTGCGATTAAGCAAGCAAAAAGGTCTTGTCGTCCTGATGACATTCGTAGAGCAACGAATCTCGTCCATGAAGTGAGAAATGCACGCCATGAATTCTGCAATGAGCAGTGGAGCGACTTTCTGGCGGGGATGCTTGAATCAAGTATTCATCTCTGGAAAGTGGCAAAATCGCTCAGAAACGGAAAGCAAGAACAACTACCACATATTCATGGTCCTGGAGGCATGGTTTTCAGGACTGAGGATAAAGTGGAGGTTTTTGCTGACGTCATGGAAAGGCAGGTCTCTCCCAGTTATGATCTGGACAATGACCTTGACGATGAACGACAAATTGTAAGATCTGTCAGGAGATACTTCAGAGCGAATGGCGACACCAACATCGGTGCTAGCATCGGCGACTCCTTTTCAGAAGATTCTTCTACGGAAGACTCTTCAGATTAATCTCAGCATAGCACATCAACGGAATCCTATGAAATTCCGTTTTGCACAACAGCAGAGCTCCAAGGCCACATTAAGGACCTAAAGGTGCGTAAAGCACCTGGAGAGATCAAATCACCAACAAAGCTCTGAAGCTGCCTTCACCCAAGGCTTTGACTTATCTGGTGGTAATAATCAATGCAATGCTCTGAACTCATTACTTACCTAAGGCGTGGAAGGTCGCTGAAGTCATCATGATCCCAAAGAAGGCAGGTTCGATATTCTCCCAGGATTACCGTCCCATTAGTCTCATGTCAGCTCCTTCTGAGCTCGTTGAAAAGGTGATTTATCGTCACCTTGAGAATTTCTCGTCAGATCACCATGTGATTCCTGAGCATAGTACGGAGCTACAGGCAGTTAGACGGGTGGGGCATGTAATCAGAACAAAAGTACTGGTATCTTGCTTTTAGATGTATTAAAAGCATTTGACAAGGTGTCTCGTTCTTCAAAAACTCTTGAAGTTTCGCACATGTCTGTACCTATTGACCCTACTGAGAGAAATTTCTGAACTCATGATAGTTGGTGGGATAGTTGTCAAGTAGTTGATGACACCAAGATTGGAAGGTCCGCCAACCAATGTCGTATCTGTGTGTACGTCTGTGTTGCATGAAATTTCAAGTTGATCCCTCCTCCCAGACATAACCTAGCACCTAGTCTGTTGCTTTTATCTAATGAGAGCAAGAAATGTGGATACGTTCCATAACAATTCTTACTGTGACGCCATCTTACAAAAACACTGTCCGTCCATCCACTATTTTCCAAATTAACTTCGAGATATCATATGAACTTATGCAGCACTAATGGTTCTTTATTAGATAAACATGGTTTACTTCTAATGTCTGCTCACAAAATGTTGATATTGCCAACAATAATCAAAACACGAAATGCCCTGAGGGCAACTTTGAGAAATAATCTCTTAAATTTTTGCCACATGTTTAGTCAACAATTTGTGCTCACCAAAAAGTAATTTTCTTTGAAGGTACCATTTGAACTTCTACTGATTTTAATCAAAAGACAAATATCCAGCAAAGCTGTGAGCAATTACGAAGACGCAAGCAAAACTTCGCCAGAGCTCACAGACCTTGTTTCGAGATAATATTTAACTAAGCTATTATTGCATCGTACACATATATCGCCTACATTGCTCTCTCTCTCAAACTTGTGCTGGCGCAACTTTCATATAAGACAAATTAAACGAAGAGCTCCATGATAAAATATTACCCGCACGATGCAAGAAAGCAGACGCCACAATGAAAATGGAATTCTGGAGCAACGAAAAAGGAGAACTAAGTATGTGAATTATTTTTACAATGAGAACAGAATGGACACGCCGGTTACGTTAGACTTTTACGACATACTACCACTGGTATTGGATGGAATTGTGTGCGACGTTACTTGTAACGAACCAAATGCGCATGCATTGCGATGGCGACTCGACTTCAACACCCGATTTTTTCGGTTTAGCTTGCCTCTAGTTCCCTCTATACAGGGTATGAGGAAACTGACATAGTGAAATGGTAGCTACTATGAGGCACTATTGAAACTAGTTTAATGAAATTTTGCACAATAACATACTTGTACACGGGTATCACAGAAATCAGAAGCTTCTTAATAATAGAGCATCTTTCACTGATACCAAACATGCAAGATTGACAGACCCTTTCCCTCAACCCATAGTTTTTAAGCCCTACAAAGTTTTCTCTGAAAATGAGTAGGAGGCTCTGAAAAGTCACAAACGATTGTTTTTTTCCATTTTCCACTAGACTGATTCTTAAAATCAACAAAGCTTTGGAATAGTAGTGTGACTTGTATAGACAGACCAAGAATTAGCAAACAGAGAGACGGAAACAAGTGATAGTTTTTTATGATGTAGATGTCACATAATATCTAAAATAATCTCATTTTCGAAATTTTTCACGATTACAATCCTTCCTTGCCTCTGGCGTGGCTAGTAAGAAGACTTCCACATGGAGGAGCAGGAATTTTTAATTTCATAAACTTGGCATAATTTTGATTTGTACCTTGAGAAAACCCGCTGAGGCAGCCGAAACATCAAGAAAGCAATATTTGTATATTCAACATCTTTCTGTGGTTTTATTTATTGGCCAGTGTTACAGATATGGATCAGAGAGAGAACCGCAAGAGAACTTTAAGAAGTTAGATCTACGTAACTGGTTACCAACATTCATTTCGCATCAACGATCGCGATTATGAACGCCTATTTGGAGAACGACGTATATACACGATATTACATGAAGCAGGGCCACCAAATTATCTGAATCTTAGTCCGTACCGACTGCCGCGTCGCTTGGGCTGGCAGCATGAAACAGTAGACAAAATTCGTTTAAACATTGATTTGTAGAGGTTTTCGCGCTTGGAAGTGACGCTTCGTTCTTAAATATCTTCGAATGCAATTTTCACAGTTTTTTCTCTTTCTCTTTTTGAAAAAATCTTTAAGTTGAACAAGTATAGTAAGCATTTCAACCCACTATAACTCTTTTGCAAAAACTCTTTCTCTCTCTTATAGCACACTGAACAATTTTCTTCTGAACACACTGAGTAAACTTCATCCAAAAATATTGAAAAATGGAGTGTCAGTTACGAAGCAGCTGAACCCTTATAAATGGTTATTAAATCAACACCTTTCAAGCTGCGTATTAAATTGTTTGCCTATGTACAAAGAAACCAAAAGCAAAATAGGATGGTGCGTCTCTTTTGGGTTCTTGTTAAACAATTTTAATACCAAAAACTTGATTTCATAAACGTTTTACGAAATAATAATTAGAATTGAACTAAATATCAGGATTTCAAAATTCTAGGGCCGGATTCCGTTTTCTCATTCCTTTGTTTCCTATTATTAAGTGCAAAACGCTGTCAGTTATTCATTTTTATCTCACCGAAAAAAGAATAATAAGTGATATAAATAAGAGGCAAAATTAATATAACGCACCCTATTTACTTTATTCGACAATTTTCTTAATGGTTACTTATACGAGCAACATGGATCCTGCTTAAAAAGAAACCGATTTCCAGTATGCAGATTTACTAAATTTGACCAGACCAACTTCAAATTTATATGTTAAAAGCCCAGTACGCAGGTCCTGACATTTTTTTGGGTATTCTACCTATGTGTGCATTATGTGACTAGATCTAATGTGGGTTTTTGATGAGATTATGTAAACATAACTATAGTGACAAGAACCTGCACATTAGTTTTTTATATTCATTATCATAATTTTGAATTGGTCTGCAGAGACAAATTGAGTGCATTTGCCCAATTCTTTTAAAAGTTCATGTTGTACTACACCAGCTGGTATGATTAATTTTGCGATATATATAATTGATAGTTCTTTTTTTTTGCTAAGTAATGACAGAGTATAAGTTAAAGGGCGTGGCAATTTATGGAATACAAGGGAACAGAAAATATGGATCTGGCTCTAAGATTTTGACTTCCCAAAACATTCTGATCCAATTCTATACACCATTTTGTAAAATGTTGATGAAGTCAAGTTGACATCGGTTTGCGTTTGGTGTCACATAAGCTGATAGAAATAAGATACTCAAGTTCAAGTGGAAACCAAAATAAATTCTATTTTGCTAATTAAAAAATACGGCTTTTCATGTACCAATTCGAACGTCAAAATATAAGAAAGCTAAACAATCGAGTGGGGCACTGAATTTTTTAACGTTCGACTAGTTTTGTAGTATATTAAATACCAGACGTCTTTAGATAAATCCGCCTGTATATCCGTTGCACATGAGAATATTTTTATTTTCAGATATGAGGTCTTGGTCTAGCCACCCACCATTTCACTGCACTTCTTCATGGAACACTCTGCATAAAGTAACTGGTAGTACTCTGTGGTAACTGCTATGCAAGTTACAGTCTCTCGTTATATAAAGATTTAGACAGAATGATTCCTCGAATCTAAGTACCGGATGAGGGTTGGCCAACTCTTGGATTTTAACAATAATGCACCTTTAACCGTCAGGTGGAGATTTATCATTGGTAGGCTATAACAGTTGTCATCACATGTTCTCAAATTTTTTAAAATATCAAATTTTCAAAAATTCAGATCTTGTTATCAAAATCTTCAAGACCCTTTAAAATCTTCAATATCATTAAAAATTTTCCAGAGTATTTAGCCTATAAAATTGTCAAAATTTGAACAATTTTGAATATCTGGAACATTTTTAAAGTCTGGGAAATTTAAAAAATTTAAAACTATAAAAACTGTTCGACAGTTTCGAAAACTTACGATTTGCTCAGAAAACAGGGAAAGCGGGTCGTTTGGGTGATCTGCACTTACAAGTTGTAATACTGATATCAGACATTTAGGGACGTATTGTCAGTCGTTCCTACAATTATTTAGGACGCCTTGATGGCCTCCTTGATTTTCACAGTTTTCTACTGTGCCGTGTCAGCGCTCTATTTTGAGGTTCTGTTACAAATACCCATTTTCACCAAATAGTTCATGCTTTTGATTTGTTTCATCTGAAATTTCCTACAATTCAAAAAGAAAACATAGCCTCACAAGAGGGGAGCGCTGAAGTTGACATGGAACAGTTGAAATCCATAAATATTCCAGTGTTTCTGAAGGAGAGAAAAGACTATGACAATTAAGGAGGCCATAAAGGCGTCGTACAAGGTTGGATATTTCTAGATTTCTACTCTCCCGTCAGAGCTCTCCTGTTGTGAAGCTGTTTTATTTTTTGAATTGTAGGAAATTTCAGGCTGATATAATAGACGATACAAATCGAAAGCATGAAAAATTGGATGCAAACATATTTGTAACATAACCTCAAAATAGAGCGCTGACAACGAAACAGTAGAAAGGCGACAATTGTAGGAACGACTGCGATACGTTAAAACTTAAACCGAAGCAGCGGTGGAGATAGATTTCTATACTATAATCCTCCATGCTTGTTTGTCTGACCAAGAAAACCACATCTATTGTTTTGACAGATCTTTGTTACTGTAGTAAACGTTTCAATCACAAAGGTGATCTTCTTCAGTACAATGTGATTGATAGGTTTATCACAATAAAGACTGTCAGTTCATGAGGTTTCATTGACAGACAACTATGGGAGATTATCGCCATGTAGATAGACCATAGGATAAGTTTCAGTTGTTACAGGACATGGTTGTTTTGACAATTATCAGAAGACGCTAAGAACGAGAGACTACGTGAACTGTGTATACATACAACGAAGGGGAGGACTTGATCATTTACTCGAATGTGGTAGGTGGGTTGATTACAACACAACACTTTGAGGCGGATAATGCTGAGCAAGGTAAAGGATGACAAAAAGAGACCAAGAAACCAACACTAGGTTCCTACTTGCTGTCTACGTGTACATTTAATCCTAGGTATTTCCACGTTTTCTTTGCGGGTCACAGTAAAACTGTACTTTTATGCATCCATCTCCCTAGCACAAAGATATGCAATCGGTTTCTGTACGCGGTTTTTAGTTTAGCCTCACGTATTGCACGTTTCTCGCACTTTTCTGGCCTACTCATTAGGACGTCAGTGATATTTGGATTTCTCTACATAACTACAACGTTGTCAGTATGTGCTAAATATATTACAGTAGTTTCAGAAAGTGAATGAAAACAAGGATATTCTGTCACCCAATTCATGTGTGTGCGCGCAAGAGCTTTTAGCAGCTTCGTTAAAGATCAGCTTGAGCAGTGTACAATTTCCCTTAGAGCAATTAAGCTCTGCACATGGGTCAGTTAGTCAATTTGTTTATTTTTTCTTACGAAATGGTGACGTAACCACCAAGAACCGCGAATTGATATGTAGGTGTCCCAAAAGTCATGGATCAAACAAAACAGATGATTGGGGGTAATTTTCAAGGTTCTTGAGCGACCACAGTTTTTCGGAAGTTATCTTTTTATCTTTCAATCAACTTTACGAGATATATTCTCAAATGATCAATCATTAGAGATAAGTTATCAGTGAAAAACTTGTTATAACAATACACAAACAATTAGTATAACCTGTACAAAATTAGAAAACACTTCCGGATATTATGGCCTTCCAAAATAGTTTTTGAGTAATCAAACGTCCTTAGTAGCTTTTGCGCAAGTTGGACAACATGCTGCAGCTACCCTAAATCATGAAAATTCCCATTTTGTGAACTTAACCGTTAAGTATCATGGCGGGGTCGAATTGGACCCTCCACGTTTTGTATGCCAAGTTTCGCTGCCAAAATATTTATGGCGCGCTGCGCGTGTTCTGCTAATCTTCGACCGGTAGGTGATTTATCGATCCACAAAAATTCCATTAATTTTGCTGTTGCCACTGCAGAGTTAGGCACATGTAGGGTCAAATTTGACCCGTTTATGGTATAAGTGTTTCTAGTGCGAGTAGGGAGTAATTTGAAATGGCGGGGTCTTGTGGCAATACACGCGCTCTGACAGAGAAGGAACTTGAAGCGGAGGCGCAAAAAATTATTTCTAACCACTTTAGGTCAAGAACTTATTAAGGACCATTTGACTCGTAGGGCTCAGCATGTTTACCGAGATAACTTTGTAGTGCCTTTTTTGAAGTTTCCGGAGTTCATGAACCCGTGGAGGGGAAGGTGTAAAATGTGGCCGTATTCAAAAAATCAAAAGAAAGAAAGCTCATCGTGTGATAAGTGTCGAGTTGTGTTGAAAAGTAAAGTCAAAAACATTGTATTGTCATTTTTTAGATACGAAATCTAAAACAATTTTTTTTATTTTAGGTACCAGCTATGATACCTAAATTTACCACTGAATACAAGAAAACTGAAAATTTTTATAATTTTTCTTATAATTTTAGAAAGTGCGGATCTTTCTTAATCTCACTGGATACCGAAGTTTTTTTTAATAAAGTTATAGCTAACCATATTCGTTTTATTTTATAAAATTGTAAAACTAATTGAAAACAAAATGACTTAACATAAAAACAAGCTACAAAACAAAACAATGGGGTCACATTTGACCCTGCCATGGTTTAAATGTTACTGTTTTTGTCCATGGTAGGTAAGGGTTAATCTCATAAACGCGATTGTCAGCCCCGCATATCCCTCTTTCAACAGCTTGTCTGGAGAAGTATTATTAATACTTTTCGTCTGATGTTATCAGTTTCTTGTTTATTATAATATGCATTTTTGTGCCTTTTTCTCCAATCGCAACTTGTTCCTATTTCTTTATGCTTAACACTAGCAAATGAAAGGGCAATAACTAGAAATACCTGTACTACCCAGTTCTCAGAAACTGCTTTCTTCACAAAAACTAAGAGATAACATTTTAACAAAGGTAAACAAAAATGAAGATAAGACGTTGACGTTGTTGCCACAGCATGCTCTAGTATAGTCACTATGTTGCCAAAAAACAAGTTGAATAGATTATTTGTTCTGGGTGTAACACTTCTAATGTCACTGAACATATATATTTGCTATCAGGTACATACCACAGACCTTCAGTACCAATTTAGTAAGGTATGATTTGTGCTAAAACGGGTGCAGAGCGTCAAGTTGCCGGTAACATTTTGCGAGACTCCCAAACACATTCCTCACTTCCTTTTGATTTAAGTACCACCTCCCCACTAATTATAAAATACTTGAAATACTTACGTTCTACTATTCGTCATTGTTAGTCAAAGCGGTCCGGTGGACCTTTGCTCTTAGTTAAAAGTCTCGTCGGTATGTTAGTCCGTTAGGTCTGGTTACCCAGATACCAAATATGTATGTTTAAGGGGAAAAGGGAAAGGAGGAAAGAAGGGAAGGAAGAAATAGAGCAAAGAAAAGAAGTAAATCATTTTAAATAGCTTAAGCATTATTGATTTGACTACTCGAATAATTCTGTAACTCCAAAAAATAATTTTGATCGGTTTTGTATACTGGACTAATTTTTGTTCGTCTGAATTTCACAATTTAATTTTGAACACAGTGCGAGGCGTTTGAAATGTTTGTGAACTTGCTCGACTGTGTAGTCTTCTGAATCACGAAACTTTCAAGGATTTGGGCGTCTATTTCGATTGTCAGCTCACTTTTAACTACCACATCAGTGAAATTATAAGTAATGCGTATCGCAAATATGGCTTTATTATCAGAAATTGTAGAAATTTCAATAACACAACGCTTATTAAGTTATTTTCAGTGCTTGTTATAAGTAAATTAGAATACGGTGCAATTATTTGGAGTCCTATCTACAGGGTGACTTCGAAGTTGAGTCATTTATTTTAACAGTGAGTAGATCTGATCAAAAGAAATGTTTTTTTCCTTTACCATTTTCCTGGTAAAATTAAAGTAACAAAGTTATAGCCCTTTGGAAGTTTGAGTACCGCCCTGTCTCAATAATAATATTATGTGGTCGTGTTTGGCGACAACGGATATAATCCGCCGTATCGGTTCATCGCATCGGAAACAAAAAAGCGAAAGAATTTGGAACGATGTTTTTACAATTATTTCATTCATTTGTATACAGTCAGTGTCAGTGAATAGTGGTATCTGTTGCGTGGCTCAAACGAAATAAAAAATGGCACATGTTTATGCGGATCGGTTTCCCAATCGAGTGCAACCAACCCCTCGTGCCTTTGTTAATGTAGTACAACGGGCTCGTGAATCAGGTGACTTAAGACCTCACAGGGGACCTCACGACCAAATACAGGTCTGCACTGAAATACTTGTCGGGAGGATACTTTATAAAACAAGGTAAACATTTTTTTTTATTTTTTTTTTATTTTTACACACATATTTTGGTTTATCTTCCTTCTACAATCATTATCTGAAAATTAATGACTCAACTTCAAAGTCACCCTGTATAAACTGTACAAAAATAATGCTGAAAAAGTGCAGAAGAAATTTCTATAATATCTATGCTATAGGAGTGATGGTGTCTATCCCCCAAGAGAATGTGACTACCCACAATTACAGAATAGATTTGGCATCCCTTCCTTGGAAAAGCGCAGAGAGCAGGCGTCCATCATATTTTTATACAAATTACTGCATGGTAACGTCGACTGTCCTGTTTTGCTATCGCAAATTAATTTCCTGGTACCTAGATTGACATCTAAATATAAAGTTTCCTTTTACTGCAAGAGGGCGCAGACAAATCTTCGATATAAAGCACCAATAAACTTTATGTGCAATAATGCGAATAGGATTGTGGATTTCAGGAATTACGAAGTGCTATACGTTCACATCTTTGACTTTTTTTACGCCTTTCTCTAGGGGTTTTCATTTGTTATATATGTATATATGTATATGTATATGTATATATATATATATATATATATATATATATATATATATATATGTATATACGTGTATATGTGTGTATGTGTATGTTTGTGTATATGGATATTTATGTATATACGAGTATATTGTGGTTTCCTAATATATATGATCATATTTATAGTTTCTTTTTTCTCCACTTAAAGCGCCTTCCTCTTTTCTGTGTGTTTCTTTGTGCTTCACTTTATGACACACAGACTGTGTAAATTAAACCATTGTATTATGTATTGCTCTCTAAATGGTACCTGTACTGTTGAGCAATAAATGCTTTATTATTATTATTAAAAGAGTGTTGCTGTGCGATTCGGCTTGATTATAACGCCGCTATCCCTTAGATATGGGACAACAAGATCTCTGTGAATGGTCTCATTTGACACGTACAAAGGGGCCTTAGTGTTTTGCAGGACTTGCAGTCTCTGCATGTGCGTCTTGGCAAGAAAACACCAAGCCGCGCATGCATAGGTGATTGCGTGTCTTATGACCATTTTATACAACCGAATGTTGTTGGTCAAACTTAATTTTGAATTTCTGTACAACAAAGGATAAAGCTGCCGAAAGGTAATTTGGAATTTTGTTTTCAGAATATCTGTATGTTTCTGCCACGTCAACCCCTTGTCAATGATGACTCCAAGGCACCTAACAGATTGCTCCCATGGTATACAAGTTCCATTCGCTGATATCTCTGATGGGACATCGCGACGTTTTTTAGTACAATAGATTGCCTGCGTTTTCGAAGTATTAATTTTGATCAACCACCGATTCACCCACTCCAATACTTTCTCCACCGCACTCCACAGCCTGTCGTGAACCAGGTTATCAGAACAAGACTAGACTAGCAGTGCAGTCTCGTCAGCATAGAGATAGACTTCACAGTTGCTGGGGCGAGGCAAGTGAATAAAGGCTTGGTCCTAAGACCGAATCCTGAGGAACGCCGGCTCTTATGGGACAACATATTGTTAAACTTGATCCGAAACTTCCTTTCTTCTACAAAAGATTGTCCTTCTCAAAGGCTTTTGCTACATCTAAGGGCAGGATACCAGTACTTTTGTTGAGAGTGAACCTCCTGGTTACATGCCCCACCAGTCTAACTGCCTGCAGCTCCGTACTGTGCTATAATAATACGTGTATATAGCCACAATTCATATAAAAGGTAACCATCACAGGTGCCAGTTTTTGCGTCACGGATTGACCTCACGACACAGAAGTCAGTCCGTGATATAGGTGTTTTGCCGACAACTAGTTTATATTTAAATATAGAAAGCTCATGGATGTGTCGTTTTGAAAAATGAGCTCAAAATTAGGCAAGACATTTCACAGAACTTTAGTTTTTCCCTTTTCTTCAGAGCCAACAGCCAACTTTTCGAGCTTTCATTTTTGTCACTCAGGAGCACGGCACAGCTCCGCAGCCCCTTTTTACTCAAAATTATGTCAAGGACCTTACATTGTTTAGATCTGGCATTGATTCTAATTTGAGGATTTATTGTTCATTAAATTAAATGACTCAATCCGGCATGTAAAAGGTTGATGGTGGCAGTTAAAGCATAAATTCATAAAATGGGAAATTTTGAGATCAATGGCACCATTTTTGTCTACCTTGCGTAGAAGCTATTTAGGATATTTTAGTACTCAAAAGGTTTCTAACTTTTTCTACAAGCTTCTTGAATATGCCGTAATTTTCTTGACAATAGATAACATCACGGTTCAGCTGATTGGAACACCTACAATAACTGGACTAATTATTCACTGATAGCTTTTATCGGTACATTATTTGGAAACATAAAAAATAATAAAGATAACTTCATTAAAAAAAGTAGCTATTTTCTAAAGATTATTAAAAAATGGAATATCCCAAAGCCGTGCACAATCAGATCGAGACATTTTTCTGATTCTGATCACTCCATTCCGTTTGATTCAACACGGTTAGGACGAAATGCAGCAGTAGGATGAATAGCGAATGACTGAGGGAAGCATCTTATTCTTCCGGCAGGGAAGGCTGATATGACAATACTGACAAGCCTTTTTGGCCCCAAGTGGCTGTAAAAGCTTACGGCCGTCTAAGAAAGAACTGTCTCAGCGTACTACGAAAGGGAAATGCTAAAACCTCTGCTGCAGGATCACTCAAAGACGTGTTATTGCTTTTGTAAAACCCGGTATGGGCACAGCCTGGTCTTTTGTTTTCGGTGAGAATGGTGCCTCACAAGTTGTGGGTTACAACTTAGGAATCTTAAGGAGAGCAAATTACTATAAATGGAAACACTGAATCAGTGCTGCTTATTCAACCATCAGTAGTTTAGTTAAGAGTAGTTATTTACGAGTAGTAGGGATGTCGAGTTTCGTCGCTATCGCCTTATCAGTATTTTCATCGTAAGTAATGATTTGGGTTGGAAATTAGAGTATCCGAGTATTTGGACGTGTATAATTACTAGTATACGTATATGTTTCGACATTTCCCCACCCAAGCACCATAGGTGTGAATCCGAGTTGCTTATTTGGTAAAGTGGGGGCCGGGGCCTTAACCCATATGTTGAGTGTTGCTGCTGAGCGGGAAGCAGCAAGCCACTGTCATTATTTACACTCCATATGATGCAAGCATTGTCTA